TGAAAAAGAAAGTTTTTCGAGTGATGTACCAACTAGTGATAGTGCTGAACATTTCACCGAATCAAGTAATGTTGCAGGGCAACGTTTTTCAACTACTAGTAGCCCGGGAATGACTGATTCGTCACGTTCTACATCAAAAGCTACWAMTGGCTCTGTAACAGATAGCTCAGWAGWTACTGAGGCCCCAACTACTGGCGAGAAGGCAAGCACTGCCTATATMATCACAGATACCACCACAACTAATGCACCAACGACGGCTGCCGGCGTCCTAGCTGCAASCACAGCACCAACCGTTTCACCAACTACTGGTGATACTGCCTCCTTTACGGAGAGCACGACAACTAATGCGACAACTGTTTTTAGTAAACAAAGTTCCAGCTCTGTAACGGAAAGCACAGCACCAACTAMTGTTGTTAAAGAATCTTCAAGCTCTGCAACAGAAAATACCCCAAGTGGCGCAACAACCTCTTCAGGTAAACAAACTGGTAGACCTACAACGGGAATCTTCTCAACTGATSCTTTAAATACCTCGACTGTTACACGAAGTACTGCCAGCTCTGCAACAGAAATAAGTTCAACTGAGACACCAACTACTGCAGATAAAGAAAGTACCACCTCGGTAACAGATAGCACAGYACAAACAGAGGCACCAACTAGTTCTGGTAAGGAACGTTCTACATATGTTACACATAGCACCTCAACTCATACAGCAAGTGGTGTAACAAATACCGCTGATAAAGRAACTAGCAGCTCCGCAATAGAAATTACTTCAACCGATGCACCAACTACTTCTGGTAAACAAACTTCTAGCTCTGCTACAGAGATATCCTCAGCTGTTGCGCCAACTACCAGCTCTGCACCAAAGATCACCTCAACTCAATCACCTACTAGTTCTGCTAAAGACAGTACTGCATCTTTAACAGAAGACACCTCAACTCATGCAATGACTACTTCTGGTAAGGAAAGTAGTAGTTCTGCAACAAAAAGCACAACAGGTGATGCACCAACTAGTGCTGGTAATCAAACTAAAATTTCTATTACGGAAATCACCTCAAGTGCTTCGCCAACTACTGTTGACAAACAAACTGCCAAATTGATAACTGATAGCACAACACCAACTGAGGCACAAACTAATGCTGTTAAGGAAACTTCAAGCTCTGCAATAGAAAGTACCTCAAGTGGTGCACCAACTTCTGCTGGTAAACAAACCGGAAGATCTACAACGGAAACTTTCTCAACTGATGCATTAAGTACTTCTGGTAAAGAAAGGACAAGCCCCACAAAAGAAAGCACGTCAACTGTTGTATCAACTACTGCCAGCTCTACAACAGAAATAACTTCAAGCGATGCAGCAACTACCAGCTTTGCTGGAGAAAGAAGCTCGACTAACACACCAACTACTGCAGATAAACAAAGTGCCACTCCGGTAACGGATAGCACAGTATCAACTAAGTCACCAACTAGTGCTGTTAAGGAACGTACTACATCTGTTACACAAAGCACCTCAACTCATACAAAAAGTCCAGCAACAAACATGAAAATTAGCACCTCATCAATTACTGAAGGCCCCTCAATCACAACTGAGAGTAT